TGATCCATAAAGTTTTTGTAGTAATTAAGTATACTTAAGTATAAAAAAGGCAAAACTGTAGCTCTGTGAGTCTCAAATAATATCTAATTCAAGTGACAATTAACATCCAGCAATAAGAAAAACACAATGTAATTCACTTCTATTGTATATTTTTGCCTGAATGACAATCAGGTCTGATTTATTACCATCTATATGTAGCCAAGAAATTATCAATCATTTGTAAAACTATCACCTGTGACTCCATGAGCTCTATCCACTTATTTTTTTTAATATAACTATTCACTCTAGATTTTTATCTTAGATATTCCCAAATCTATACCACAAGGAAAACTCCTAGTCTATCCAAAGCTGAAAACATTGTAGTGAAACAGAATAGTGTCAAAGAAAATATCTCAGTAGCAGCCAGAGAGAAATGAATGGTAATTAGATAAACAGCAAGTTTAAAAGCAAATAATTTAGAAGACAGAGAAATGAGGTCATTAAAAATGCTAAGAGAAAATAATTGTTAATGAAGAATTGTGCTCCCATTCAAGAAGAATGGTGAAATGAAGATCTTTTTGGATAAATAGGAACTGAGAATGTTTACCATAAGAGACTTGCACTAACAGAATTTTGAAAGGGAATTCTTTGGGACAATGCTTCTCAAACTTTAACATGTATACAAATCACCCAGGGATTGTATTAAATGCAGATACTGATTCAGTAGATCTTGAGGAGGAGCCTAAGAGTCTGCATTTCTCATAATTGCCCAGGTGATGCCAATGTTGCTGGTCTCAGACCAGGAGTAGGAAAAGAAAGAAGGAAAATAATCCTAGCTAAAAGGTGGGAGATGAACTACTGAGCAAAGATATAGGTAAGCAGGTAGTCAAATCTAAACAAATATCTGTATAACAATAAATATTGCTAATTTGAAAGATTAAAGAAAAGGGTAAAACAAAAACTGGAAAAAATAGCATTTAGGTTGGTAAGGTGGATGACCAAAGTTAAAGAGTTCAAAGGTCCTTATATTGTTTCGGAGGGAAGAATTAACTTGGGATATTGTTACGAATGCTTCAAGGGTGACCACTAAAAGAACAAAAATAGAATATGCAATTTCCAAGTTAGTAGAAGGGAGAAAATAGAATATGATAACATACTAGATAACAATAATTTTTAAACCTTAATATGAAAAAACAAAGGCTCATGAAGAAAAAAACAGGAAAAAAGAATAAATAGAAAGTGGAAACAAGTAGAAATGTTAGTAATTTAATAAATGTAAATGGAATGAACTAGCCTGTTAAAGTAGATTGGATTAAAGAATAAATGAAACCCAACTATTTACAAGAGACATACCTAAAACATAAGAATATAGAAAGGTTTAAAGAGATAGAAAAAAGACAAATCATCAGTGTCTGTAACCTGGTGATGATATACCATAGTTTTGCAAAATGTAGGAGAAACTGGGCAAACTATACAAGAACTTTCCGTGTATTATTTCTTACAACTGTGTATAAATGGACAATTATCTTAATAGAATTTCAACTAGAAAAAGAAGTCAGGCAAATATCAACTAAAGACAGCTGTGGTAAAATCTCAAACTTTAGTGTGCATCAGAAGCACCTGGAGACAGATTGCTGTGTTCCATCCCCAGTTTCTAATTCGGTAGGTAAAGGGTGAGACCAATTTATAGCAGGTTTCCAGGTAGTGTTGATGCTACTGGCTGGAAGACCACGCTTTGTGGAACCTTGGTATGATGTAATGAACCTCTAAGTACTAAACCATTTGGGCAATTTTTTTTTTTTTTTTTTGCCCGCACTGCGCGGCTTGCAGGGGCCACCGCAGTGAAAGCGCTGGGTCCTAACCACTGGATCACCAGGGAATTCCCCATTTTGGGGATCTTGTTTAAGATATCTCTGCAATTTTTTTCTGAGGGAGTAAGAGGAACTGGAGTATTTTAAAACAAATTTTTTTTAACTTTGTATTGTGTGCAATTAAAATATTTATTTTAGGCTACATCGGGTCTTAGTTGCAGCATGTGGGCTCTCTAGTTGTGGCCCACATGCTCAGTAGTTGTGGCACAGGCTTAGTTGCCCCATGGCATGTGGGATCTTAGTTCCCCAACCAGGGATGGAACTCGCGTCCCCTGCATTGGAAGGTGGATTCTTAACCACTGGACCACCAGAAAAGCCCCTAAAGCAAATTCTTGCAGCAAATCATTTCATCTGTAAACATTGTTTTAAACAGTCTTAAAAAATCTTAACCTTGGCAGTGCAGTGGTTCAGACTCCGCACTTGCACTGCAGAGGGCGCAGGTTCCATCCCTGGTCGGGGAACTAAGATCCCACATGCCTCAAGGCGCCACCAAAAAAAAAAATTAAAAAATTTTTAAAAGTAATTAACCTTGACTTATTATGGAAAAATAGAAACCTGTCTCCAATAATTTGAGAATACTCATCTGTCTCAAGCACACACTGAACATTTCTAAAAATTGACATGGAACATTTCTAAACATTGACCACTTTCCAGACAATAAAGCAAGTCTCAACAAATTTCAAGCAATTGGTATCATATGGAATATTTTCTCTGACCAAAATGCAACTAAATTAGAAGTCACCAGCAAAAACTTTATCTATTTACCTTTCTATCTTAAAGATAAGAACATAGATAAATCAAAATTTTTTTTTTTTTTTTTTTTGCGGTACACGGGCCTCTCACTGTTGTGGCCTCTGCCGTTGCGGAGCACAGGCTCCGAACGCGCAGGCTCAGCGGCATGGCTCACGGGCCCAGCCGCTCCGCGGCATGTGGAATCATCCCAGACCAGAGCACGAACCCGTGTCCCCTGCATCGGCAGGCGGACTCTCAACCACTGCGCCACCAGGGAAGCCCAGATAAATCAATTTTAATCCCTAGAGATCTCAATATTTGAAAATACACTTCTAAATAACTTCTGTTTTCCAGCAATAACTCTACACTATGGAAATGTATGAACCCCTAACCATCTGTACCATATAGGTGTACTGAACTGCAAAGTAAAATATACTTATCGTTTGGGTTGCAGTGAAAAAAGCCTGAAAGCTATTGGCCTAGAAAAACGCTTACACATGTATATTAGTTTCAAGAAAGTTCATAGCAGCATTGCTAGTAATAGAAAAAATTAAAAACAAACCAAATATCCATTGACAGATGAATATGTATGGAATATTAACACAATGGGATATTATGTAACAGTGAAAATGAATGAGCTACAGCTCCACACAACAGTGTAGATGAACTTTAGAAACATAATATTGAGTTGCAAAATCACCTTGCAGAAAGCCTCATAAGATATGATACTATTTTTAGGAAGTTCTAAAAAGAACTAAATAATACATTGTTTAAGAAAGTATACATACCCAACAAAACTATTAAAATAGATATGAAAATGGCAACGACATCAGGTTAGTGGTTTTTTCTTCTGGGGAGAGAGGTAGGGGAATAGGATAGGAAAGGAGTGGCCCAGGTACATGCAAAGGTATTGGTGATGTATAGGGACCAGGTAAATTTCTGGGTTGTTCAAGGCCATCTGTTTTATTGCTGAGTTTCATTACACACAGATATCCTTTTTTTGAGGAAATATTACATACAAAAACAATTTTAAAGAGGAAAACTCTGATTTAATAAACAAGAAGTAATACTATTAAAATTTTATTTGTAGGGAACAAAATATTCAGTGAATTTTTATTCTACATCAGAGAAAATTCTGGAGCCTAAGTACTCAAGGACTGGGATCCTCAAGCCTTCAGACTTTCCCATTGTCCTTCCCCAGGAGAATGACTGTGACTCTCAGTCATTCAGAGCTTGGGAAATATAAAAAGGTCCCGTCCTGGACAATGCAAGCAAGTTGGCATAGTTTTTGCTGACCAAGGCTTCTTTTCTCCCACTCTTAAAGAATCGCTTCAAATCTGCATGCCTCTCATTATTTCCAAAGCGTTCTGATGCTTAGGTTGGGAAAAGAATGTTTGAAAGTTTTTTGGGGTAAATCTCTCTGCATCCCTCCAGCCATGTATCCTTCTTTTTTTAAAATCTGATTACAGAAACATGTTAATTGTATAAAATGTGATTACAGAGATTAAAATCACTTGTAATCTCATCATCGAATGATAATCACCCTTGACTTTTTTGGTCTCTTTCCTTTCTGTCTCATTTCTGAGTAAATGAATACGTATAGTTGGTTAATTTATAAAAATGGGATCATAGTTACTGATACGATATGTGGAAAGCCATAAGATTGAACTGAGTGAGTACAGATGGAAAAAAGAAGAGGTTCAAAGACTGAGTCTTACCTAAGGCACAATTAGAAAGGTTGAAGAGAAGAGGAACTAACCAAAGAGACTGGGAAAGAGCAGCCAGTGAAGTGGAAGGGAAACCAGGAGAGTGTATAGTCTCTGGGAAGCCAAGAAAAAAAAGTATTTAAAGAATACTTAGTCAATTGCTATTGATGGGTAAAGAGAAATGACCATTTGATTTAGCAAAATGGAAATGATTGGTGACCATGAGATGTTTCCATGGAACAGTGTAGGCAAAAGCCTGACTGGAGTGGGACCAAGAAAAAAATAAGAGGAAAGAAAATGGAATCAGAGAAACAGACAAACCTTTGAAAGAGCTTTGCTGTAAAGGAAAGGTGAAGAATGGAGGAGTAGTTGTAAGAAAGTGTTTTTTGTTTGCTTTTAAAGTGAGATAAATAACATCTTGTTTGGATGCTAATGGGAAAGATCTATCAGAAAGGGGAAATTGAGGGTGCAGGAGAGAAGGGAGAGAATTACTGAAACAATAACACAGAGTAAGGTGCTGGCGTGGAAGAGTTAGCCTCAGATGGAATCATGGGCAATTCATCCATTGTTACAAGAGAAAAGGCAGGGTATCTGTACACAAAAGTGTTTAGTTGGGTAGAGATGCTGGGAATTTGTGGACATTCTTTTCTGATTGTGCTTATTTCTCAGTGAAACAAGAGGAGAAGTCATCTTCTCTAAGCTAAGAGAATGCTTGCTTTGGCAGCACATATACTAAAATTGGAACAATACAGAGAGGATTAGCATAGCCCCTGTGCAAGGATTATATGCAAATTTGTGAAGCATCCATTAAAAAGGGGAAGGAGAAGAAGAAGAAGAAGAAGAAGAAGGGGAAGGGGAAGGAGAAGAAGAAGAAAGAGGAGGAGGAGAAGAAGCAGAAGGGGAAGAAGAAGGAGAAGAAGAAGTGGAAGATGTAGCTAATAGGAAAGTATGAAATAGTTGTCTAGGAGAGTGAAAAAATAAATTCACTAGAGAAATATAATATGATTGCCAGGCATCATCAATGGCCCACTTGATGTGCATAGTCACAAATTTAAAATGAGAGCAGTCAGTATGGTTGTGCTTTTACCTCAAACACACTGAGCCACCTGGATGTAGACACAGAGTAGACAGAGATACAAATGAAATCAAAACTCAGATTTTGGTCAAATGAACAGCATTTTCTCTATGATTTTACAGCTTCATTCTTCCTCAAATTATTTCTTTCATGGAAAATAGGATGAAACATATTTCTACCAATACAAAATTTTATCAATATCTACTCAATACTTGCCTCTTCATTCTGATCTTTCAGTTTCATGGACATCAGTTTCACTGTCTACCCATTCTGGCCCTTCAATTTGATTCCTCAGGTTAGTCACCCAAGATTTTATCAACAGTTTTCACGTTGATTAATTTCTCCTTCCTTATCACTTTCTTTTGTGCTTTTTGGCTTAGTAAATTCTTGAGTATCCTAAGGATCACATCTTTCCATGCTTAATCTTGTCCACAGACCCTTTTTCCCTACCCTTGAGTAGGACCTGGGAAACATATGAACACCTGATGGGACGTAATTAGTTCCTAACTCAGCTCAAACTTTTTCAAAATTAGTTTGTCCAAACAATGACATAATTTCCAATAAACATCCACTGATATTGTAATGATCTTGATCTATCTTTGGAAACACTTTTTACAAGGGAAGAAAGTCTTATAGAATTTTAATTAGAAAATATAGATATTACTGTTTTATGTACCCAGGTTTAAATCAGAGGAAGCTCATTATTAATCATGATCTGATAAAGCTGGAATTTCAGAAAGGTGAAACAATGGAAGTAGGGAGAATAGATGGAGGTAGAAGATGCTAATGATAAATTAGAAAGTTACCCATGGTGCAAGAAACTTAAGCGAGACAAAAGAGTGTGTATAATTGGCCATGTTTGATCAGCTAAGCATTTGATGTTTGTAATACAAAGAAAAGCTTCTCACTGAGACAGTCCACACTGGTACTGTGCCTCTTAGGTTTCCCTTTATTCAGATGGTCTTCAAAGCATAGTAATGCCTTGATTTTTAAGTAATTTTAAGCAGAGTATGAAGTGAGTGGTTCTTGAGTCATTTGACAAGTTGAATTTTAAAAATCTGAATCTTTAATATGAGTATTATCTAAACAAATTCTGCTTAATTAACTGCTTCATTGCCCAGAAGCAGCAGTTATTTTATCTGAGTTCTAATTAATAGCTGGGTGCCCTTTGGGACTCTAAGAGAGGAATTTCCAACTCTGATTCCAATCACTATGTTATATCTGTAGTATTTTTGGAAACATATAACAGTAAGTGACACACAGCAGGAGAGAGTCCATCCTTGGAATCCTTAGGGGTTGGAGGAGATTTTTGTTCCCATCTGACTTTCTCCAGAGCCACTAAGGAATAGGAGGCTGAGAGGGCCAGTGTTCCTGCAATGACTGTGGTACAGCATCTTTCAGTCCTCAGTCCCTGAGCCAGGAGGAAAGAAGCACCTCTGACCGCTCCTCCCAGTGAATCCCACAGGACCACAGAGGAAGGGGTGTGGTTGAGCAAGCAACTCAGAGTGGAAGAAGATCCTCAGTAAGAGCGAGTAGCAGTTCCTCTGGGGGGACCAGGCCCAGCTTTGTGCAGCCACTTTGGGTTGCACACTAGTTGAGGGACTCCCACTTCCTGTGGAAATTCTAATTGGGTTTATGGAGCTGTTTAGAGGATACTATATTTCTTATAACCTCTCTTGCCTTCTCTCCTTCTTTCCACTCTCTCAACTGGATTTTCTAAGCCTCTTGTGTTGATCTGTGCCCATAGTATAACCCATGTATCAGTCAGTGTCCTCCAGAGAAACAGAACCAATAGAATACACACACACACACAATTCCTTTATTTTAAGGAATTGGCTCATGTGATTGTGGGGATTGGCTAATGTGAAATCTGGCAGGGCAGACTGGAAGACTAAAAACTCAAGCATGATTTTATGCTACATACTTGAGACAATTTCTTCTCTAAGAAATCTCAGTTTTTGCTATTAAGTTCTTCAACTTATTAGATGAGGGCTATTCACATTATCAAGATCATCTCCTTTACTTAAAGCCAACTGATTGTAGATGTTAACCACATCTATAAAATACCACTGCAGCAATACTTACATTAATGTTTGACTGAATAAATAGCATAGCCTAGCCAAGTAAGACAAACCATCATACCTCCATATAAAAGTGATTACAAAAATCCTAAACTTTTTTGGGCATTTACTATGCACCAAATATAATGCTAGGCACTTAACATGAACTGTATTATTTAATATTCACAACCCGACTTCCAGGAAGAAGGCGGAAGAGTAAGACGCGGAGATCACGTTCCTCCCCACAGATACACCAGAAATACATCTACACGTGGAACAACTCCTACAGAACACCTACTGAACGCTGGCAGAAGACCTCAGACCTCCCAAAAGGCAAGAAACCCCCCACGTAACTGGGTAAGGCAAAAGAAAAAAGAAAAAACACAGACAAAAGGATAGGGACGAGACCTACACCAGTGGGAGGGAGCTGTGAAGGAGGAAAGGTTTCCACACACTAGAAGCCCCTTCGCGGGCGGAGACTGCAGGTGGCGGAGGGGGGAAGCTTCGGAGCCGCGGAGGAGAGCACAGCAACAGGGGTGCGGGGGGGCAAAGCGGAGAGATTCCCGCACAGAGGATCGGGGCCGACCAGCACTCACCAGCCCGAGAGGCTTGTCTGCTCACCCGCCGGGGGGGGGGGGCGGGGCTGGGAGTTGAGGCTTGGGCTTCGGTCGGAGCGCAGGGAGAGGACTGGGGTTGGCAGCTTGAACACAGCCTGAGGGGGTTAGTGCGCCACGGCTGGCCGGGAGGGAGTCCAGGGAAATGTCTGGACCTGCTGAAGAGGCAAGAGACTTTTTCTTCCCTCTTTGTTTCCTGGTGCGCGAGGAGAGGGGATTAAGAACGCTGCTTAAAGGAGCTCCAGAGACGGGCGCAAGCCGCGTCTAAAAGCGCAGACCCCAGAGACAGGCATGAGATGCTAAGGCTGCTGCTGCCGCCACCAAGAAGCCTGTGTGCGAGCACCGGTCACTATCCACACCCCCCTTCCGGGGAGCCTGTGCAGCCCGCCACTGCCAGGGTTCCGGGATCCAGGGACAACTCCCCTGGAAGAACGCACGGCGCGCCTCAGGCTGGTGCAACGTCACACTGGCCCCTGCCGCCGCAGGCTCGCCCTGCACTCTGTGCCCCTCCCTACCCCCGGCCTGAGTGAGCCAGAGCCCCCGAATCAGCGGCTCCTTTAACCCCGTCCTGTCTGAGCGAAGAACAGACGCCCTCCAGCGACCTACACGCACAGGCGGGGCCAAATCCGAAGCTGAGCCCCTGGGAGCTGTGAGAACAAAGAAGAGAAAGGGAAATCTTTCCCAGCAGTCTCAGAAGCAGCGGATTAAAGCTCCACAATCAACTTGATGTACCCTGCATCTGTGGAATACATGAATAGACAACGAATCATCCCATTTTGAGGAGGTGGACTTTGAGAGCAAGATTTATGATTTTTTCCCCTTTTCCTCTTTTTGTGAGTGTGTATGTGTATGCGTCTGTGTGAGATTTTGTCTGTATAGCTTTGCTTCCACCATTTGTCCCAGGGTTCTATCCGTCTGTTTTTTTTTTTTTCTCGTAATAATTATTTTTTATTTTAATAACTTTATTATATTTTATCTTATTTTATTTTACTTTATCTTCTTTCTTTCTTTTTTTCCTTCCTTCCCTCCTTCCTTCCTCCCTCCCTCCTTTCTTTCTTTCTACTTCTACTAATTCTTTCTTTCTACTTTTTCTCCCTTTTCTTCTGAACTGTGTGGATGAAAGGCTCTTGGTGCTGCAGCCAGGAGTTAGTGCTGTGCCTCTGAGGTGGGAGAGTCAACTTCAGGACACTGGTCCACAAGAGACCTCCCAGCTCCACATAATATCAAACGACGAAAATCTCCCAGAGATCTCCATCTCAACACCAGCACCCAGCTTCACTCAACAACCAGCAAACTACAGTGCTGGACATCCTATGCCAAACAACTAGCAAGACAAGAACACAACCCCACCCGTTAGCAGAGAAGTTGCCTAAAATCATAATAAGGCCACAGACACCCCAAAACACACCACCAGACGTGGACCTGCCCACCAGAAAGACAAGATCCAGCCTCATCCACCATAACACAGGCACTAGTCCCCTCCACCAGGAAGCCTACACTACCCACTGAACCAACCTTAGCCACTGGGGACAGACACCAAAAACAACGGGAACTACAAACCTGCAGCCTGCACAAAGGAGACCCCAAACACAGTAAGATAAGCAAAATGAGAAGACAGAAAAACACACAGCAGATGAAGGAGCAAGATAAAAACCCACCAGACCTAACAAATGAAGAGGAAATAGGCAGTCTACCTGAAAAAGAACTCAGAATAATGATAGTAAAGATGATCCAAAATCTTGGAAATAGAATAGACAAAATGCAAGAAACAGTTAACAAGGACCTAGAAGAACTAAAGGTGAAACAAACAATGATGAACAACACAATAAATGAAATGAAAAATACTCTAGATGGGATCAGGAGCAGAATAACTGAGGCAGAAGAACGGATAAGTGACCTGGAAGATAAAATAGTGGAAATAACTACTGCAGAGCAGAATAAAGAAAAAAGAATGAAGAGAACTGAGGACAGTCTCAGAGACCTCTGGGACAACATTAAACACACCAACATTCGAATTATAGGGGTTCCAGAAGAAGAAGAGAAAAAGAAAGGGACTGACAAAATAT